ATCAGCAGAGCATCAATCAGATGAGAGGAGCATTAAAATGCATTTAGGAAGATAAACAAAGAGAAGCAGTGTTGGGAAAACAGAAATAGAGATGCAGATTTGAACACGAGTATCAGTAATTTAAAGAACCATGACAGATTTAAAGAGTTATTTAGCTTAATGTGTTATTCAGGATAATTCAAACCAAATTCTGTTTTAACATAAATGAGGTCACAACATATAAACAAGGGCATTTGTTTGCACTTATTTGGTTTTATAAGCTTTCAGGGGCATAAAATTATTTTTCAAGATAGAAGGTGAAGAAGGTGATAGAAGGCTTGCTTGTTGAGATAGGAGTTGCATATCATATTACTAATGAACCCATGTTCCTACTCCAAATATTCTAATGAAAAATAAGTCCAGTGTGATGTTATAGATGTTATACTTTAAAATGCAATAAACATGAAGATTGTAAATGACTGCATTGCAAGCCAAATATAGTTTTCTTCCTGGAAAAGGAATCAAGTCCTATCATTCATTGGCAACAGTGGATAGAAATTCTTTTTATGGCATAATATTCACATGCTGCACAAATGATATACATGGAGGTTAACAATGAATCACCTCAAGCCTAATTTTGATCATAACATTCCAATTAGAGGAAGCCATGTTGATTTATCCCTGCTATTCAAGAAAAGACAAAACATTACCATATTTCATTTGCATTTCTCTAAAAACAGGAGGCAAATAACCAGTGAGTTTCCCTAACTCCTCTTCTGTACAGAGGCATGAACTGGGAACTGGAAGATAAGAAGTGGATAAGAGGACTGGAATGCTTCTCTCCCTGGTTTGCCAAGTAGCCTTGTACAGATCATGTTCTCTCTTGGTGCCTAGGTTTCCTGATCTGCAAAATGAGGATTACTTCTAAAGTGTTGCATGTGGCACTTCAAAAGTGTCAGGTATTGTAATAACCGAGTGCTTAAGTGTGTTTTAGAGCGTTTTGCTGCATCATGGTCAGAATGCCTAAGCAAGGAATGAACAAAGGTAATATTGAGGGGCACCAGTGCCTACAGAATGAATCTAGCTTTTCTGCTCTTGCTGAACAACAGATATTTTAGAAGATCTTTACGGTATCTTCTGAAATGAGGGGTCACTTCACAAAACACAAATGTGTGCCCTGTGTCTCCTCACACCATCAAGGAGAGCAGAGCAAAGGTAATACCTTCAAGCAATCAAGACAGACTGTTTCCCATTTCAGTCTCCCCAGTAACATTGTTTTTGCCTTAAAAACAAATCCAAACTAGAAACTGTTTGTTCTCCCATCTGCGGATTTTAGGGAGTGAGGATTACTACTAGCTTTAAAGCTACATTAATTCTTACAGGTAAAGGAGCAGGACGGGGAGGCCCTGTGAATCCGGAGCTGCATGGAAGGTCCAGTTTTCAGCTCCAAGAGCTGCCACTTGCCCATGCTCTTCTGCCACTTTCAATGCAGAGTTGAAGGCTTTCTTGGGAGAAGCCTTGGCAGGTTTCTCATTCCCCAATTGTTGCTCATTCCCCAGGCAGGAAGTTGCTCATTCCCCAATTACTAAGAAAAAATGGTGTTTTGGGGCTTGGCTCACTTGAAAGGTGACAGATCCAACCTTGAGCTAATATTAGCAAGAATTCCCACAAGGCTGGTCTAATACCCCTGTGGATGGTAGGCAGGGATACTTTGATCACGGCAGATTGCGCTTTCCAAACTTACTCCCATAAGACTGTATCCAGCTTCTTTCCATTGCATGTTCATAATACATTCACATTTGTCAAGTACACAAATAGGAATGTTCTAAAATCACGTCCTCTCTTTGTGACATTTCCTCGTTGCTGATTATTAGCTTAATTTCAACAATGCTAAAACAAAACTCCAGCATTACTTCCTAACTACTTCCTAATATCTGAGACTATTGCCTGCTGGTCAAGCCCCCAGAGAGGCCACTTTTCACGTAGACACCTCTTCAGGATATCACAGCCAGTCTATGTGTACACCTTGGGCGTTCTTTTTGAACAGCAGCTTTAAAATGTTCACTGATAAAAATCTAAGTCAATTTTTCAACACTTTATATTTTAATATAATAAAAATTTTTTTTTAGATTTAAAAAGTCCTGTCTTTCTCTGTCCATAACCATACCTACTGCTGTTTTAAGACTATTCTCCTAGTCCATTGTTCTCACTCACCTAACATGTCACAGTTGACTCTGGAACATAAAACAAACACTACTTGTTTTTACTGTCAAGGTGCTTCGGAGCTTAGCTCTATTCTGCCTATTATTTCTCACTCACAGGTGTCATCTCTCATTTTTATCCGTTGAGGATGCCCATCTCCACTGTTTATTTATTAGGTTACCAAAGACCTTGGTTTATTTGAGATCTGCTCCTATAAACATCTACATGGCTCTTTCACTGCAACTGTGAACAGATTTTGGTCTGCCAAACATTCATTACTCCTTGCAGTGAACAGGTTTTGGTCCTGTTCCTTGCAGTTCAAGTAACACTGGACCTGTCACCTGCAGACCTTGACAGCGTCTCTACCAGGCTGCAGCACAAACTGCCAAACCAGCACTGCAGCCTGGCAGAGAGGCTGTCAAGGTCCTGAATTCCATGAACACGTTTTGAAATTACCTGTGCACATTGTTTTGTTGTTTCAAGAGATTTTGTTGGTTTCTCTTGGAACAACTACAAACAGTGGGTAGTAGCCTAACAAGTATATTTTTATGCAGGCTGTCAACAGGTTATCAGAGGTCTACACAAGACCCCTTAGGCATTGTATTAGAATGACATACAGACAAGGAAATGTCCAAATACAACATTTACAGATACATAAGATGAATGAAATATATGAGTGGAACGTAACTGCACTGACAGTGTATGGAAAATTAATTAATTAGAAAAATCTAGTAGAATGGAAGATAGTAACTTGTATTTAAAAAAAAAAAAACAGATATACTGCAAACATAAGTAACGAACTATAATGAGAGCTGTGGCTTGGAGTTATTCAGGCTTGTGCTGCTGGAATTTGACCCTCCTGACTGTTGCCTAGTCAGTAGTATAGAGTGCTGGGTTTGCTCTTTGTCATTCTTCTAGCATGAGACATACGGGCTTGAATCCAGTCTGTGATTAAAGTGATGGAGTTAATCCGGTTCCTAACTGGAGGAAGTTTCTGAGTTACTTAGTTAACACTGGCTAATTGGTAAGTGGCCAAGTCTGGATTAATCAAGAGTGGATCTAGGCCCCGAGAATGCCAAGAATGGCCAGTAGAACAGTGGGGCCTTGGAAGGAAATGGGAATCAGTATTTTTCCAAATAAGAAAATAAAATTTAAATGGGATTGTTAGATCACTTGTTTGCACAATACTCATTTGGACAAGAAAAGGTTTGAAGGATGTTTTCTCAGAGTTCTGAGATAAAATAATTTTGGTGACAGGTGACAAAAGAGCAGCAGGATTTTATCACTCGTTTTATACCAACACATGCAAGGAAGCCAGATTTCATAAAAAAAAAAAAACAGATTTTGCTTTTATTTCCTTGGATAAATTGACAGTCAAAATATTATATAGTAAGGGAGGTGAAATAGATGGATTTACAATCCCAGAGAATGATTTTTGCCATATCTTTGGCACCAGCTATCCTCTCTGTTCTTTCCCCTTTGGTTAAGGGTCACGTTTCTCTAATGCAGTTAGTGCATCTTTTGTCTTTATGTCACCTTTCCTGAGCTGTAGGAATGATGACCTGAATACTAATTTTTACAAGCACTTATCTTAACAGCAGTGGTAGCTGAACTTCCTCACACTCCACGCAGCAAAAATATGATTATTTTGAAACTGGATTGCTTTCCTAATTCACATCAGCATACGAATGCATGAGTTATGCCATTACTACAAAGCAGGAAGGCAGGGACAAAAATACAGTGGCCTGAGAAGCTGTATAAGAAAATAAACACCAAACAAGTGCATATGGACACATTGCCTCGGCCTGTGATCTTCGTATCAGGCATCTATAGTTTTATATTTTTGCAGTCTTTTCTATTTATAGAAGATCAGCATAAAGGACTATTTATTTGGAATGGCAGTGACGTAGACTTTATAGTCAGAAGTGGAAATGAGTACCTGAGCTACACAGCAGTGTGGAACCAGGGCTCTGACAACGTGATTTGATAATGCACAGGCAACAGCGGCCTGTGCTGCTATTACTTTCTTCTCTTAGTGATTTTTATAAAGTAGATTCAGACCAGTGGGGTCCCATGAACAACTACATCATCACTGGGGTGGCCATGGGCACAAACGGACAGGAACCGGTGACAGCGTGGTCAGAAAAGGCTGGGAACTGCTGGTGCCAGCGCTATTTACTGGCAAGTCCTGGCCTTGTTAACTGCAGTATTGGGTTGAAATCACACATTCATCTTCTGTCACTTGTCTCTCGTGGGGTTACTTATGTCCCCGGAGTGAGAATGTCTGATCTTGTAAGTCAGCTTCTGGACGGCCAAAATTTACAGCCTGGCATAATCAAGAAAATGAAGTCTGTTTTTGGTTTAACTAGATGTGGAGGGCTGAAAACTGCAGTAAAATGGCCTGTGAAAAACTTACTTTTCATCCTTTAAAATCCTGCCTTACTTAGACTGTGGATGTACCAGCAGTTAATTTAATACTCATGTCAATTGTGTATATGTGCAAATGGGTCAAACTGGCAGAAAGAAACTTTCATTGGGAAGGGAAAGACAGGAGACTTCAAAACAGCTTAGTAAGAAGTAGAAGAGAAACTTTTTCTCTCATTACCAGGTCCATTTTAGCAGATTGCTGCATTGCCTGTTTGCTACGAAGCAAGTGCTACCAAGCACTTATTCAGCCCCTCTGATCTTTGGACTTTACTTGGGAATGAGACATGTAGTCACTGTGAGAAAAAAATGTGATGGTTACAATAGCACATTAGGAAACATATTTAAAAGCATGTACTAAAACTTAACCTATGTAAGGTAAACTGAGAACATACCTGCAACACTTTAGACGATTCATTCAAGAAATCCTCCATGCTCTGATTTTCAGGATTAAATTTGTTAAGCTGTTCGACTATTATTGCAATATGTTTTCCATGGCTGACCATCTTCACCATGGAGAATCCTATAAATATAGCAAATCATTAATTTTTCATGCCTCCTTCAGTTGTGGCATAATGTATGTTGATAGGCTCACAAAGAAGCATATACTGCAGTAACACAGAAGAGAACATTCAGGTCAAGCTTTCAAAATCACAATTAGTCAAATAGAAGAGCTATCAGGGAATGAGAAAACAATAAAAAAATCAATAAAATACACGACAAATAATTACATTTTTCTTATTCTGGAAATGCCTCAAAAGATCATTAAGATGATGGTTTCTGTTTTGGGTTACTTGATGAAATATAATTAAATATCATGTTAGAGAAAAGCAGTAACTTTAGCAAGGGTGCTATACAGGCCCTATTTAATACATTGACCTTCCCACTGAGATGCAACTGACAGTAGAATGTCAGTTTTAAATCTCATTGCATGCTGTTATTAACAGTCTGCATCTCCAAACCAACGGAAAGAACAGGAATAGGGAGATGGGGCACACAAAGAAACAGTGAGACGGTGTCGGAAAGCATCAGGATGGGCAGAGATGACTGCAGTGCACCCGCTGCTGGGGTTTTTGGAGGCTCAGCAGTTCACAGAACTTCTTATGCTGGATGCCCTGTGTGTTTTTATCTGTTTCAACTGCTGTCTTCCTCCTATGAGTGAGAGTTTGCAAAACTGTCTTAATGTCTGCATGAACTGTGTTTCAATTGTGTATTATACATTTGCACATTCTGTTGTGTATATAGACAAATGATAGCAATGATCAGGGTGAAAGCCACTACACTGGTTTAGCAGTGACAAAAAAAATGAGCACAGGAGTAATTTCACATGGTAAAAAAAAATATTTAAAAAATTGTCCTTGCATTTTACACAGTATCACACGGTACTGTCAGAAAAGAATGGTTGATCAAGATGATTCATTCCCACTGTGCTAAAGATAAATCATTTCTTGCAGTAAAAGGATGTTGTAACATTTCCTAGTACAGTGTACCCTGCCCTTCAGCATTACCATACTCTGTTATAATTGCCTAAACAGCACTAGTTTCAACTACTAATCTCAAACTGCTGAAGGAAAAAAAACCTTATGCCTGTATTTACGTTCAATACAAACATTCAGTTAGCAAATATGGTCATGATGACCAATTAATAAAAATGTCCAGGAAAACAAGATTGTGACCAAAAAGAAGGGATGGCCAGAAAGCAGAGGCACTGCACTGCATCTCTGCCGCTTTGCCAATATTAATAAGATGTTCTGCTCCAGGAAGAAGGAAAGGAGAAGAACCATTTCTCCATTCCCCTGTGGACATGATCTGTTTTTCCTCTGTACCTGCCATGGTCCTAAAATTCACAAGGAATTTTGGATAAGAGAGAGAGAAAAATCTTTGCATTCATTCAGGCTGAATCATAATTCAGGCTCCAACTCCCTCACAGTGAAAGATATTTTTTCTACTGCCGTAGTAATTTCAGTTTTCATAGTGTGAGCTTTCTGATATTCACTGTCCAAAAATAGCAATCAGGAGACCAAAAAAATGAGATATGAAACCTCAGACATACAGTAACACCTTAAGGACCTGAGCTGTAGAGGGGTTCTTAGTAGACAGAACTTAGCCTAGGATTGCATTTAAACAACTATCATTATCATCAATGTTTTAAGATATACACATTAATAATGTAATTAATGATACGATCTGCTTCCATTACGTAATGCAGAATTTCAGGAACTGCCCTAGCTTTGCTTTGCACTGGAGTTTGGGCATCCTTTTGAAGGTGACTATCTGAGCACTAAGACCATCCACAACGGCAGGGGTTGGTTCCAGCGACTCGAGCTCTTCCCGGGGATTTCGGGTCCCTCGCGGCTGCGTTTCCTCCGACGACCGAGCCCATCCGTCACGCGGAGCTCAGGCAGGGCGCGCAGTTCTGCTCCCACGGGAGCGGGCGCTGCCCAGCGCGGCACGGCCGTGCCGGGATCATCCGTGCCGGGCGCCCCTTCCCGCAGCTCTGCCCATGGCCACTGCGCGCCACGGGAGCAGCTCCCGGCGCGCTCCGCCCTGAAGGCAGCGGAGCAGCCAGTGCAAAACGAGTTCAGACCGAGCAGCTGCAGCTGGGACTGAAATTTTAAAATTTCCATCCATTTTAATGTCTTATACACTTACCGCAAGTGTTTTACTAGACACGGTGTTTCCTATTTTTAAATTTAAGCTCATATCTGGTGAATTTCGCTATTTGCTTCCACGTTGGCTCTGCGACATGCCCTGCCAGTAAGTTTTATTAGCCTTATTTCCCGGAACGAGCAAACCGAGGGACTGCCGCGCCGGCTCCGGGAGCGACGCGCGGCCTCCCCGCCCCCCGTGACACACTCACACGCCGC